CCAGGACAGGGAATAGACAGAAACCCAATGACTTAGAAGATTATCTAGCAAGGCAAATCCCAACAGTGTGAGCACAGTTTGCTACTAGACTATTTGGCTTCAACCGTTATGTATTTTCTGGCATTTTTATTCAGATTCAAGTTGTGGGATGACAGAATCCAAGTCACCTACTTTGGGTTATGAATCCAGTTATCTCTTGGCAAAGCTAGAGGTGCTTGAGAGGAGAGAAAAGAGAGTGTAATGTAACTTAGTCTCATAGAGATTCCACAGAGTGGGAGAAAGAACTTTCTCTAAACAAACATTGAGTACACGCATAGTAGAAAAGGTGATGGTCATGGTATAATGGTGTTCCAAAGAGAATCCAACGACAAACGTGTACTGTGGAATTTAAAAGGTAAGTTAAATTGTGGAAGTGCTAACCACTGAGCTTTGGTTAACAAACCTGAGCAGGGATTTACTGAGGAAAATGAAACACAGATGTGTGTAGATGGGAAACCGGTGAGGGGAAGGTTCTAGAAAACATTTTGTTTGGCATCTTCCTCCTGAAAGAATGGGGAGAAAAGATGACAACCTGATTTGGCACCAGCTATGCTAATGGGGCAGACTTCCTGCTAGTCAAAGCTCCCCATTAATGTCCACTTCTCAGCATGTCTGATTGCACGTTGAAGTTGACCGATCAGCAAACTACTCAATTATAAGCTCATCTTCTCCCCGTGGTGCCACTAATTAAAACAGGAACTATGCTGCAGCTCACACACTCTGTGGAGTTCTACCTTCCAAAAGCTGAATTAGTCACAACAATTAACTGTTGTCAGTGGATTTCAGCCTCCTCTCTCCTTCCTCCAACCCCACTTCTGTTTGGTGTGAATTCATCTCTGAAAAACCTTCCCCTGAGATTATTGATCTCCTCTATTTCCTCCACTGTGAGAAATAAGCACATGTGGTGGGAGCCTTGAAATATAGCCCCCCAAAATGCAGCTATGTGAAACCTCAATGTTCTGGAATGCTCTGACCTTTTGTCCTGCCAAGCATCATTTTTTTCCCCTGAAATCACATCTTGAAGGGTATTCCTACATGTACTTAATTTTTAAGAAGAGAGAGAGGAAAAACAACAGTGTGGAACTGTACCCTTCCAATTGCAGAAGAGCTGGTCTTTGGACAGCTGGGATGCACTGTAATCTATTTTTTTTTTTTTTTTTTGTTTTTCTCTTTCAGTTGCGATAAACATAATGGGCCACTTTGGTAATGTAAGCTGTAAATGCACTTCTTTATTACAGCACTAGACTGCCATGTGCAGAAGAGACAAAGAGAAAACATGTCAAGAGACAGCACAGTGACAGGGTAGAGGAATGGGGGCTTGCTACACAACAACAGATTGTATCCCAAAGTGGCTTGAAGGCCAAGTCCATGGCATCCCAATCAGGAACTTCTGTAAACTCTTCAAGGTCCAGTTCAAATCTCCATTAGTATTAAAATCAATATCTCTGACTGGAAACAAAATGAACCTCCTGGCTTCCTTTCAAAAGGGCTTCCGATTAGCTTCCAGCACAATGCTGCCTGCCCAGTCTTTCTAAAATCCCCTCTCCCTTCAAAAGAAGCAACTCTAGACGCTCTTATCTTTTCATCCAAGCTTCTCCATTCAGCATTTGATGACTCCATTGTTTGTTCCCCAAATGAAATGAAATAGAATTTTTTCTACCAAAATATTTTCTGAGAACAGCTATGCATAGTTAAAAGTTCCTAGAGAAATCGCTTTGTACCTGCTTGGAGAGGAGCAAACCAACCTCAGAGTCCTTGTACAAAGTCAGTATTATAAATTAGAATAGAGTATAGTTAAGTGTTTATTTTGACACAGTGGTTAAATCTCTCAAGTTTTGAATCAAGAATTTTAGTTTCAATTATGAAACCATGATCGATTTCTTTTTGGGTCTCAATTTCCAAATCTGTGAAATGAAAAGAATGATAATGTCTACCTCATATGGCTATTGGGAGGATCTAATTAATTAATGCATGTAAAGCTTTAACCACATTATCACATAGAAAGGGCTTCATAAACGGTGAGAGTTAACAGTGATACTTTTATCTTTGGAAAGAATTCTTAAGCATGTGCCCAGTGAACATGGGATAATGGAGGAGTGTCTGGCTCTGGAGTCACTGGAATGTGCTCGCTGTGCACCAACACTGGACTTCCCACCTTTCCCAGATCTTTACAACTTTGTTCTCAGCAAGTCTTTGACACTGGCGTATCTACAGCTCCACGTCTTTTGCCTTAAACAAGCAGTCCGGCGTAAGAATGAGGAGTGGAAGATGACTCAGAAAATCCCACTCATTTCTCAAGTTTCTTTATCCAACATGGTTTTAGCCTAAATTTGAAAGTATCAGTTGCATGACAAAATAGAAGAGGAAATGCACGCACACATGGACACACACACACACACACACACACACACGCTAGACTAGACTCATCCTGTTTCACACCCACACAGAGACATACACTCTTAAACCTAAATACTCAGTGACTATCCCCTTATTATCCCTTGATGGGTTGTCCATCTGGGAATTTTGTATAGTCCACATGTTATTGATTTACTTAGGATGAAATAACAAATTGATATCGGCCAAAGCTCATGTTAATTCGGAGATGGAAAGATGGGGTTCACCGCTATTTCCTCTAACACAGTGATTTCCCAACAGTGCTCACCCCAAGCAGAGAACAGGCAGTAGACTAATGAGCATCTTAGAAGGCAGGACAGAGTGATATTAGCAAGATGGTGGGTGGGAAGCAGGAAATAGCAAGGCCGCTTTTACATAGGCTCAAGTTTCTCACTGTCATTTACAATAAATCTGTTCAAAATGTTAAGAGCAATTAAATAAAGTGAAGAGAATACAAATGTGGAAAAAAGCTCTTGTAATCAGATATTCCAGAACTTGAGAACCAAGTATAATGTTTTTATAATAGTGTGTGCAAGGGAATATTCTAGTCAATAGCCTAATTGGGATTAAGTAATTGAGCAACATTATTTCAAAATATTGCCTACATTGGATCTTACGCCCCAGCATCTCAATTACACGTTGTTCTAGTTATGAGAATCTTGAACATTAGGACAGTGAGCTCCACACCACAGAACATCTGGCTTTAACCAATGTTCGCAATCTCTTGTGTTTATTAGCAATAAATGTGGACATCCAGGTTTGCATAGTTAGGCCATTTGATTCACTTGATGAACATATAATTTTGGCCAGTTGGTCTGGCTGGTGTCCAGAGGTAAGTGACTTCTATCTCTAAGTGTTTGGTTCTATTCATTTAGCTACCTAAGCATCTCCAGGTCCCTGATATCTGCACAGTACTCCACAGTGAGTTATGATTCAGTCATTTCCAAAAGAATTTAGTGAGAGCCAACGTGAGGCAAGTTCCCTGTTCTTGTAACTGTGCAATCCAGCAGGGAAGGCAGACATTAGGCACACTGATACCTCGGTGGTTATGTAATTACGGTGTAAAGAGTGCTTCAGAATAAAGAATGAGGTGCCTTAGCATTAAACTGATTTAGAGGTCAAGAAATGCTTACCTGAAAAAAGAATTGATGTTAGGACAATGGTTAGTCTGGCAAAGTGTATAAGAAAGAGGTGAAAGAGGGGAATGGCATTCCTGGAAGAGGGACCAGCATGTGCCAAGAACAGAGGCAGAAGAGGTAGGTTATACTTGAGCAACTGGAGAACGGACAAGATGGCTGGGATGAAAGAAGCGTAGAGGGGATTGGCTGGGGATGAGAAAGAGGCAGGCAGAGTCCCTGCAGCGATGCAAGCAGTCGACATCAACCTGGAAATGGTTCTCAATGGTGCTGTCTATCAGAGAGAAACTCAAAAGTCAGTTTGGTTGTTTAAGCTTTCAAAAAGTGTTTACTGGACATACAGTCACCTCTCATAATTTACTTTTATTAGTGGCAAAACAAAAAAAGAAACACGATTTAGGGTCTGTCGTACCCATACTTGTGTGTTACAAAGGATTTTATTTGTCAAGAGATTCCAAATTTCAGTCTTCCATGATAATAACAAACTTTGCCACACTTGGCAAACACCTATATCCTTGGTGATAGTCCTTAAAGGAAACTCTTATTTTTCTCAAACATATTTACTTATAAAGATCACTATTATTAATGAACAGTCAAGATAAATTCAAGGTGACCATAGAAATAGAATGGTTTAAATAAAACTGTCATTGTATACTTGATAGTCATTGTGGGTCAACTGGAGTTTTGAGCCTGTAGCCTTCTCTTTATCATATGAAAAAGAGAGGTAGGCAGAAGATAGCACTGAAAAGATGAATAAGTGCCAAACCAAGTACTTTTCCTTAATTCTAGTGCTTGCTTTCTGCAACTTTCTCACTATGCAATATTGTATAAATACCACCATTGAGTGCCCCATGGCAAAACATCCACAAACCACTGGCAGCACATGGTCCACCCTTTGGGAAGCAAAATTATTCCCTAGAAAATAAATACAAGCCAAAAGCATGCAGTCTTAATTCATTGAGTAAAGAAATGCCAATCCTTCCATGGCAGTGGACATGTACTTCGCTTTTTAGATTTGAAGTAGATATTTGATAAGTAAAGTACTTTTTCTTATAAATACTATTAAGGAAAAAAATTCAGAGACATTTGATCTCGATCAGAACATTTTCCAAGTGAATGTTGAGATGTCAACTGAGCACCTGAAGAACCTCAGGATCTGTGCAAAGGACCAGGCAGACAAGGAACTAAAGACACAGTGTCCTGAACAAATGGGGTAGTGGTTCTTCATATGGGTCAACAAACGCCAAGGAAGATTCGTGACCAGGATTCAATAGATAGAAATTCTTGCAATTGTTATGCCATGCTGTCATTTTAGATATAATTTCCAAACTGTCACTGCTGTCTGCATAGTTAAGCTGTTGGCCACAGAAGCACAGAATCAGGGGCACTATCCCCATTCTGTTTGCTCTTTTTTTTTTTTTTTTTTTAAACTTTTTATCGGTACTAGGGATCGAACTCACGACCGCCTGCTTGCAAGACAGGTGCTTATGCCGCTGAGCTAAATCCCCAGCCCTTACTATCCCCATTCTGAAGAGGGTTCAGAAGAGCCAAGGATGTTCTGGAAAGCGGAAATGAGGGGGACTGAGGCACTAAAGGAATGAAGAGAGTCATGGAGTAGAGGGGTTTGGCAATATGGAAGACAAATTGACCAGGGTTAGTTTGTATAAACACAGCATAATAGATGCCTGGACTGTAGCATCAGCACCACTGGAGACTCAGTAGGGAGCTTGTTCTCTGGCCCCATCTCACATTGCTATACCAAAAACTCAGAGTGGATCCAGCAGCCCTCACTTCCACCAACTCTTGGGTGATTCTGGTACATGCTGAAGTTTGAGGGCTGCTGGTCTAGAGGAAGAAGTGAGTGCAAGTATGCAGTTAGAGGAAATAGAGGCCACTCTCTGCTAGGATGTCCCTTTTGATCAGGATACCAGCCAGGACATTGTCCAGCTTTTGATCACTCTTCGATGCATCAGTTTCTCAAATTTTACCAGTCATGTTCTCTCCCCATGACTGCTTATGTACATAGACAAGTACCATGATCAGAACACTTCCTCGTTAGTCATTTTTAGCTTATAGCTTTCTTTAAAAAGATAGATAGTTTTTGGAGGATTTGAATGTGAGTCCTATCCTAATTTATCTGGTAAGGTATACAATTTATGAGCACCTACACATTTCTGCTTTGGTTGTTTTAATTTTGTTTTAAACCAAATACTTCTCTGTGTAACCCACTGTCTAATGCATGCCTCAGTGCTTACCCAGTGATGGAGAGAAGGACGTTCTGCTGCTTTTTCCTCTCTATAATAGTATGGCCTTGAGGAAGAGGGTAATTTTGCCTCAATGATCCTGGTAGAAGGAGGCATTAGGAAATGCGCTGTGGCAGAGCTCTGGGTCCAGACCTGGGTTCGAATGGCTGTGTTACCAGTTAGCTCTTTAACTTAAGGGATATCATGTGACCTCTCTGAGCCTCAGTTTACTAATAGTAATGTAATGAGTTAGCAAAGACATTGAGAAAATTCAAGGAGGTAACACACATGTGCAAAATGCCAAGCTTCATTTAGTTGCTCAATAAATAGAAGTGATCAAATTATATTATTCCTTAATCTCTTTACAAAGTTTCTTGAGACCAAAAGTACAAGTAGCAAATTTTCTGGATATAGACTGAGAAATAATGTGTGACATTTCCTGTGTTGTTATCACTTAGAATGATTTTACTGCATGTAACCAAAAGCTAATTGAAACCAGTATAAATGATGAGACATCCATTATCTTCTATGACAGAAAATCCAAAGAAAGGATGGGTTCCAGAAGAAATGCATTTAGAGGTCCAGTTTTGTTTCTCTGTAATTTTCTTGATTCTGATTTGCTTTTGTCTGTCACGTTTCTCACTAGACTGACTTCCCTTATGGCTCCAAGATGACTTCCAGCAATGGCTGAAATTGTATGCTTCTTTGCTTACATCTGGAAAGGGAAAAAACAAAGGTGTCTGTTTCAACCAGTCTTATTGGTCCAACATGTGTCATGTGCTTTCTCCTAACACACATTGATTGGCTGTTTTATACAGAAGTCTGGATTGTTTTAACCAGTCTCTGGCATTTGATTATAGTGATTGGTTAGGAACCAATCCTGATGCTTGGTAATAGCTCATTCTAAATTTTTTGGGCTGAACTTTAAGAAGATGAATAGTTGGAAACAGAAAAACAGAACTGAAACTATTTACTACAATTGTCTATATCCCAAAGACTGTACTATTGCAGTTTTAATTTATACTTGATCTTCAAAAGTCACCCTATGAGTTGCTATTTTTAAACATAGAGAGGATGAAATTCTGAGAGGTTCAATAACTTGCTTGCTCTATATCACTGGCGAGGTTACCAGAACCAGTGCATAGACTGAGACCCAAGACACAGTCCCTGCTCCCCACCTCTGTACTGTCTGGTTAGCTGATGTCTTTTGAGGGGGGCCCACACATTAGCCTCACAGGCAGGGGCTCAGGGATCCTGGCTCTGGCCCATTGAAGTGGACTCATTTTTACCCCATACTGAGGAATAATAGGAAAATGCTGGAAAGAACTTGAGCTCAGTGCTCAGGTTTCCAGTTATTTGTCTGTTATTACCAAACACTAAAGACTTTAAAAATTCACTGTGGTCATATAGGCAGGAAAAATGACCTCATGCTTATAACCACAAATCCAAAATGCTCTGGAATCTGTAAGATGAACTACATTTTAATTAAAAGAGAGAAAAAGAGATGAAGACGTTGCTTGGGTATTTGTTCAATACCTCCTTTGGCTTGCCTTCAGGCCAAATGTGACAAGTGCCCTAAATCTGATAACAAACACACACTTCTGAAGTCATTGTTAGCTTTCCTAAAATTGAAAAAAAAATCACATTAGTTTCCTGTTACCCGTAAGAGTTCAAGAATGTACAGCCTTAAAATACAGCATATGAGAACCACAAGGAATCATCCTCCATTAAATATTAAAAAGAAAAAATGGAGCTCAACCATATTCCTTTCTGATCAGAGCATTTCTGTTTTATTTTTTGTTTTTGTTTTATGTTAAATCCTTTGACCCTTTCACCAAGAAATATTTTTTTTAAATGTGCAATTTATCCTTAAAATCTAGTTTGTATTGTTGTCTACTTACTACTTTCAACTACTAAGTCAAACTTTCTAGATGAGGATGAAGTTTTCCCAACTGACAACAGAGAGAGCAGTAACACAATAGTGAAGAGCTGCTGCATCCCATGGTTTGTAAACAGAAATTCTTTGCTTCTGATATAGTAACTGTTTAAAGGCTGGTAGCAAAATAATAATAATAATAAGGTGGCACAGGGAGAACTCTCACATCTTGTGTGCTGAGCATAGGCACATACTTCCCTGATGCCATATATATTATTATTTCCTTCAACACTTTCCACTAGCCAGTAACACTTACCTGTATTACAGGAAAGCACACTGTTATCTATAAACATGAATTAACTGTACATAATTTAGTAGGACTTAAACTGTAACTGGGAGAACATGCAATTGAAAATAATTAAAGCAAAAGCCAACAAACTTTTTCCAGAAAGGCCAGAAAGTACAGATTTTAGACAATGGGAAAAAGAGAAATTAAACTCTCTGTAAGAGTTACCTAAACCTGTCTTCGTATGAAGATATCCCTTGATAATATGTAAACAAAAATGCGGCTGTGGTCCAATAAAACCTTATTTGTGAAAACAGGTTGGCCCTCAAGCTGTAATTTGCTAAAGTTTGACTCAGGTAATGCTTCTCAAAATATCCATGACAAATAGCCAATTAATTTTTCTCTAAATCCCAGTGTAATATGGATTCATATTTTTGTGAAATATATTAAAATGAATTAATAGAAAATGAAGTGAAAAAGATATATATGTTCAAGTTTTGTAATATCAGATATTGTAGACATAAAATTGTTCCTTTGGGCAATTAAGTTTGTAAACACCATCAATTTCTGTACTTAATGTGAACCACTAATGAACATTCAATGAAACTGCATCATTCTGATTGACACTGAGTAACTATGCTTTAAGGATTAGGACAGTTATTATTTCACCTTGCAATAAATCCATGAGATAGGCAGTTCTGACTACTTAATCATGCTATCAATCCCAGTTTTCTTCCATCTCTGTGTTTTCCAGTCTTCAACATTTGTCTCTTTTCGTGTCCTCTGTTTAAGATGGGAGGGCACCAATACCATTTTATCAGCATATAACAGTGTTCAGAACTGGAAGGGAAGCAGGAAGGAAGGAAGGAAGAAAGGAAAGAAGGGATGGTGGGAGAGAGGAAAGGAGAGAAGGAGGCCAGAAGAACTATCTTTTGGACAGCTTTTTTTTTTTGGTTAGGTGGGATATACTTACCCCAAGCAACTGACAACTCTTAGGTTTCACTGGCTATGATTCATGGCTCAAACCTATACCAGTCACTCAGAAAAGATAATATAGTGCCATGATTGGCTTAGCTTTGTTAGGTTTTCCCTTTACACTGAGCCCAAAATCATCTGACAAAAATGAGCATCTGTCAACTAAGGAGAATTTCAACCCTAGAAATGTGCTAAGGAAACCTACCTCTTTGTTTAAAAGCTTGGCTTGTAATCTATCCCTCTCAATACCCTGTCTCAATGGGAGATTTCTCACTATAGTTCTGGCTATTGTGATCCCTGTACATTTAATAATTCATACTGAGCTTCAAATTTTATAGTGTTTCCATATGAAGAATAAAATTTGACTGACAATGGTTGTAACAAGTTTGTGACCATAGTATGCCAGAAAACAAAATGTAAACCTGGGGATGGGGTCTGAGGTCATGCAGTGAGAAAGGCCATTGTTAGACCTGTGATCCAGAGCTTTTAACACTGGTCAGTGGATTTGTGTCTGATTTGACCACTTGCTCAGAACCAATCAATCAGCAACAACAGAACAATAGCCAGTCTGTCTATGCAAAAGGTCAACAAAGGCAACTGGTATAAATTGACTTGAGTCCATACAAACAGATTCCTTCCTACTTTTGATCTTCATCTGCATGGGCTACTACTATAGGGTAGGCAATGGCTCTAGCATCGCAGAACACAGGACTTTCAGTTCTAGCTTTCATTTTTAAAACAGAACTCCCACAACAGCCAGGACATGTTGGTTTTCATAGTCAACCTCCATGTACAGTGAAAATATGCTTTTGTGTGTTTTTTGCCCTGCTAATTTGATGGGCCCCTAACTTGGCTAGCAACCTAGTTTTGTGCTGTAAAAAATGTTTTTCTAACTAAAATATGTAAACATAGTTAATCACAGCTATACCTCAGATAGTCTTTGCTTCTTCACAGTTGAGGCTTTTTCTGGGAAATGTATAGAATTATTTTTTCTTTTTAGCATATGCAGGCAGGCATTGTAGACTTATTTCTACTTCTTTTCTGTCTACTAACAAGCCTGACATAGATTCTTGGCAGTAGTTCTTAGAGCTTACTTGCTAAACTGATTGTTTTAAAGTTGTTCTAACTGGGGTTAGTGGTCCCTGGCTATGATCACAGTAGTCTTAGAAGCCGAGGCAGGAGGACCTAACTTTGAATTCCACTGGGCGGAAGTGACTTAGTGAAATCCTGGCTCCAAATAAAAAAGATGTAGCTCAGTACTGCAAGTGAATAAATACCTGGGTTCAGTCCTCAGTTCTACAAATAAATGAGTACTTTAATACACAAAGATGTCCCACATCCTCCACCTGTTCTCTCATAATTAGTTTTAGACAGTTAAACATTACCTAAGACTCTGGAAACAATTGTCCCTCTACTAAGCCTAAAGTGGGTAGGACAGGATTGGGTAATAGAATTGAAATGAGTTCGGCTCCCAAAGATGAGCATTTGCAGAGTTCCCCAAGTATTCCTGACATGCTGCCAGCTTCTGAAGTCACTGGCTGGAATATGTCACTCAACCTTTCTGAATGACAGCTAAAAGTGTAATTACGCTGTTAAGAGAGAACTTTATCAGACGGTACAATTGCTCATCTGTATCTTTCTACCATTTTCTGCTTTCCTTTGTCCTTTCCTTTCCAGGCAGCAGTTCATGGGAGCATTGGGTAAGATATGGAGAAAAGCTCAGGGAGTGGAACTTAAAAGATATTTACAGTGAGCTTAACTACGCCTTCTAAAAATTCAGAAGGCTGGTCATGATTTTTCAGTTTCTGGGACGTGCAATTTGGACAAAAGCTCAGAAGAATGAGATCTCAGTGTTTATTCCTGGCAAGGGGACACCATCCACCCATGTCGTCATTTCTCCACCCTTCTTTTCCTCCTGCCTCTAGTTCCACACCCACCTGAGAATCCGCGGACGGAAGAAGATTTGATTTACGTTGCTCATTAGACTACCAGTCTCTTGGCTGAGCCCGGCAACAGAGATGAAAATTAGTGACAAATCACGGTGCTGCATCCTATAATATGACAAAAGCAGGCCCCATAGCAATAAAGGCTCTCATTAGGGCCTCTTTAACTGCTCAGACTGGTTTTATTTTTTAAGCCACTAGAATAGTTAATACAATGTGTGGGACAACATGATTTCCATTGGGGCACAATCAAAAAGGAAGCTGCTTTCCACGCTTGCTTTAATCTCTTTCCTTACATCTACCTGAAGCAGAGCGGCGGTCCCCCTGGGATTCCTGTGCCTCCGTACTGCCTCCTACAAAGGGGAGGTTTTTACCTAGACAGCTACTGATTCAAAGGTAAAACAATTAGTACACATTAATCATCACAAGGATGGTACTAAAAGCATAATCCTTTTAGAACTGGAACAAATTAAACTGAAAGTAGCAATATAAAATCAAGCAGAAGAAAAAGACCACACAAGTGGAAAGATGAGAGGATGCTGCTCGGAAGCCTCAAATCTCACTAAGAGGGTCCCCAATATCTTCTCTCTTTGGTTTTTTACACAAAAATTCCCCTGCCTCCTTCAGCAGTCTACAAAAACTGAAAGCTCTCCGTGCTAAAGCCACGTAGCCATTTCCTTGCAAAACTAGAGCTTGATTAAGATGTGGGAGCCACAGTTATACAGTCTGGTGTCTAATAAATTTTCTAAAGGTGAATACTTGCCAACAAAACCTGAAATCAGCTTGCCAAGGACTTGTCTAGGAGGAAAGAACAATCTTCCTTTTCTGCAAAAGGAGAATCTTTGTTCAGATTTCCAAATGAGGCCACCCCTCAGCCAGAGACTGATTTAGAGAAAGAATGTCTGCTTTATTCACGTCCCACCCAGTGATCTCTGTCTGCTTCGTTGCTCCTTTCTGCTCCTCAATGAATAAGGTCCGAGCTGTCTGGAAAGAGAAGTCCCATAATACACTAAGTAATCCTGCTATCGTAACCTTTAACAAGCAGGAGGCATGCAGGATGGTTCCATCAACACGCATGGAACAGTATTTCCTACAGCCTGTGATGAATGTGTTGGGAATTCAGAGCAGAGTACCAAGGTATCTCTATCACTTACTTTCCTGGGATGCCTCTCACAGACTCTTGGATGTTTTCACCTTTCATTTCCTTCTCTTAGATTCTCTGCCATATCCATAGTTGTCTTTGTTGTAGAAAGTCCCTTCTCAGCTCAGTATATTTCTTCTTTGAGGCAACTAGATTTCTGTGAATCTTTAAGGTATCAGAATAACAGCAGACACCTACATACTCATGAACTTTTCCTTTGGTTTTCACAGGACAATAGATATATTATTATGTTAGAAGGTCTTCTTCCTACTAAAAGTGAGAGGAAATGAAGGGAGCAGAGAACTCATCCTGCCACAAAGTATATAGCAATGTCCCTATTACTTGCACATTAAAAGAGAAGCATGAAAAAGAGGAGAGTGCATACATGAAACACTTACTGATGGGCTTCATATTCTTGTAGTGGATAGAGGAGGTGGCTGTGTCTTCCTGGAGTACATCAATTCCTCCTGGTAAAATTAAAACCTCTTCTAGTTATTATTAGGTTTCTTACTATGAGTAATTCAATTTATGAATCCAGGTTCTTTCATTTACTTGAAGCTAACACTAGTGGTTCATTGCCAGACTTTGATGCTATTCATTTTTCCTTACTTTTCTCAACTTTCTTCTAGATGTACAACCATGAGAAACAGATAAGATAATGCTAGCAGGAAGGCCAAGGACTCACTGGCCTGAGCTGGGGCTCATACTTGCAAATTCCCCGGAGCTCTCCTAATCTCAGTATTGTGTGTCTGCAAGATGTATTAGGGAGGCGTTCAGTTCACCCACCCATGGCAGGGTTCAGGTCCTGTGATTGTGAACTTTGTGCTGTTTCCAAAATGGAAAATATTCAGCTCTTGATGAGATTATTAGCTTTCCTCCTGTCCGGGTCCAACAAATGAAAAACAGATTTACATGTATAAATAACAATCAAGCGCTGAAATGATTTATTTAGTAAAGTTACTGTTTTGGAAACTAAATCAATGTATCATGTCAAGATCCGATCTGCCCTTCACTCATATGGCAAAGGAGACTTCTCCAGGGTCTACAGGAAAAAAAAAGTTGAAAATCTATTAATAGTTTACTCCTGCCATGTGAGAATTATAGTGGAATTCAGCTCTGAGAATAAAAGCTCAAAATAATGTTTCCGAGAACATCCTGATAATAGCGTGTGCTATTTCTTATTGTATTCAAGATACACTTGAATAACTCTTCCCTGAAAGGAAAGGAAACAAAGCAAAGGGCAACATATTTTCCCACTGTGTAAATTTCCTTCCTCCAGTAGAAAAAGTTCAAATTAGAAGGCAAATTGTATGGTCATATATGTCAGAATGCTGACATAGTGACAGCTTCGCAGGTGTGCTGGGCTGCATACGTGCATGCTCTTTCACAAAAGACAATAGGCATTGAAAATTAAACACCGCTCCAAAGCCTCCCAGCTCTACTGAGGCAAGTCTAGAGAAACTTGAAACCAGGCATATTTCTGTATAAATTCTGTGATGAGTTCTGTCATGGGAATCATAGTCTAGAATATTCCGGAGACAACATACAATCTGGATCTGGTATTGTCAGCTTATCATACAGCTAATATAGAATTATCTGCAGTTAATTGTAATCATCCTTCTGGCATTAGTCCAAGATTTACAATTTGAATCAACTTATAAATTATCTGGGACTTCACTGTGATGCTACTCAGTGAAAAGTGAAATTAGAGAGTTGATAGGCTGACTTGGAGACTATGTACATAGACCAGAGGAGCAGAATAGATGAGTTGGAGGGATCCATGAATTACACCAAATCCCAGCTCTGCTATTTACTAGTTGAATGGCTTTGAGATAAATTGTTTAATTTCTTTGAGTCTCATTTTCTTGATTTGTAACTTGGAAATAGAAATATACAACTAGGCAAGGTTATTGAGAAAATAACAGGCATTTTATGTGATGTTCTGGGAACAGTAACTATTCAATACCTACCACTGTTTACTTATTTACTTATTACACTTTTTATTGTTTCTCTTCAAAGTTGAGATTCTCAGCATAGGGGTCTAAAGTTATACAAGACTTCTGCTCACTCTCTCCCCTGAAATTATATGCAAAGTCTTCTGCATATGGGCATTTCCTGAAGGTGAAGTTTCATAACTCTTTCAATATTGTTAGAATGGCCCATGTTCAAAGGCAAGACTAAAAACCTTTATGATTTGACTTCATCTATGCATCAATTCCACAGTGAGGGATGAAAACAAAAACGTTTGTGACTCTTTCCTTGGTTATACATGCACCGTAGCTCGTTGCTCCCTCTCTGATGTAAAGGGAATTTCCCTGTGTGTATGGATTTGTGGGTGTTCACATGGACATGCATGCTTGTGGCTTTAGGGAATGTTAATTTCATAATGGGATGCAAGTTTACTAAGAAAAGACAAAACAATTGTGAAACCAGAGAACTTGATGACGGAACAGCAGGGGAGGGAGCAGAGGGGACTTGAATGGGAGCAGAGTAGGGTTCATTCTATCCAGGGCCTTGGCAAATGTAAAACCTCAGTGGATTCATGAAGTATGGCTCCCAGGAGTGTGTGATTGGTCCCAGGCGTGGAGATGCAGAATGAGGAATCGGCAGGAAAGAGTGTTCTGTCACAAACACCATGACACATTCTGAAAGAGAAGTAAATGCTCAAGGCAGAGACAAATTTATATAACTCAGAGAAAAGTAGTGGGATTCAAGCATTTAGACAGAATGATTTAGACACAAACATTTAGGCAGAAGTAGATGATTGTCTTATGCTGAGCAACAGATTAACGAGTTTAAAAATATATAGATATGTATTCATGCACATTCTTAAGTATGTAAGTACACGCAAGTGTGTGCATTACTCAAGTTTTTGATGCAACTTTTTGCCTCTTCCCTTCCCATATAGATATATGGGCATGTACAAAAATAAATATAGCTGCCAGCATGCCTAAGGGTTATGAGGTACTGCACGCTATGCTAAGTGATTTAAAGATGTGTCCACTTAGTTCTTAAAGCAACTCTATGAGATAGATATTATTATTGACTCTCATTTTGCAGATGAGGAAACTGAGGCCTTCTAAGATAAAACAGTTTATGCAGGATCACACCCTCAGTAAGCTGTGAAGCTGAGTTTCAACTGAAACAATCTGATGATTGATCCTGTAATATATACTACCACACTCTAGTCCTAAGGAAGATCGAGCCAACTTGCAAAACTCTCGGGTGTAATTTAAGCAGCAGAAGAAGGGCAAGGGTCTTAGATTTGAAGTTTCAGGCTGATCTGAGTCTCATGCACCATTTCATAACACATCCCGAGTGCATGGATGACATTTTAACCTTGTGCTGTACTCTGCCATGTTTTATTACTTCTCTGTACACCAGGCAATAGAACTCCAAACAGAGAGGAGAGGTCAGCTTAAGAAAAGACCGTAAAACTATTGAGAGCTCTTTCATTTTTTTTCTACAGCAGTCCCATAGGTCTAAGAAAGTCAAGGACTTGATATTTACCATTCATTGGCTCCACACAAATGGAGATCTGCACTCAGAAGCCACAGCAAAAGAAGAAAATGAAGTTCACCACCTCCCAGCAGTCCTGGTGGTACAGGAGGACCTATGGGGAGGCTGCTCTTTGATAGCTGCTGGCTAGTTTCTTATGAGCAGTAAGCCTAGGGGCAACAGGCAGGAAGAGAGAGCTTGGAGAGAGTCTTGACCTTTGCAGATGTCTTGCAAGAGGAAGTCAGTATATTGCAGGTCTCTGAAAATTAGAATTTTGGTGCAATTCTTAAAGGTCACAGAAGCTTCTTAATGTCCAGCAATTCATCAAGTACCATATTCTCTTTTGCCCTGAGTGCTTGCCTAGTCTTCTCTCTAATCCTAGCACCTTGCCCTTCCTATATCATTTCTCTCTTTTATTTTCCCGCTTTTGACTCACTGAGAACTGTCTTGGCACAAGATTGAGATAACAATGGAGTAGCATACACCTGGATACAGGCAGCCAGATCTCTCGTAGCCTCAAAACAACTTCTGAGATATTTGGGACCGGCTTTCAGAGACACAGACATTATAGCACATTTATCTGGACAGATACTAGTTGCTGCAGACCTATAAAATACTGTCCATATTTTTGGTGAGGGTTTACATGTGTTCTAAGGATATCATAGAATTCAGAGAAAATCTGTAGTATAGATGGAATGCATCATACATTGTGCAGTATTTGTTTTTCTTGTTTAAGCATATTTTTTATATTCCTAACCAATATGTAATCTCTATCATTTCTGGGTACAGGAACTTGTGAAAATTACCTATGCCTATCATTTTCATCAGTGCAAACTCAATTTCTAAAACAATGTCTATCACATAGTTAATTCTAAAATGAATACAGTGGTGCCTCAGTTTATGAACTTAATTCTTTCCATAATTCTGATCCTACACCAAAACGGACGAGAACTGAATCAAATTCAATGGCTAGGTTCAATGTTGACCCTAAAGGGAAATTTGATTCAGTTCTCATCCTATTCGGAGAAGGACCAGAATTATGAAAAAAATTAAATTTGTGAATTGAGGGACCGCTGCATGTGGCTATGTTCGAGTCTGTATCTCTAAGAGATGGCCTTAGTTCGTAATGAAGTGCATGAGTGTTACCAATCTAAATAACTACTGTAAAGCACTTCTGCAACTCCTGATGTGTGATCTATGGTAGGCAGCATGTTATAAAGAGGGCCAGTCTAAAATTCAGCTTTAATTAGGGATCACATGAAGGCTGCAGAGGATAGGAAGAGGTGAGGAAGTGTAAAGTGTCCTTGTTCTTCAGGGTCCCAGAATCACCCTGGCTGACAATACTGTTCCTTGCTTTCTGATCTGCAAACTAAGACTCCTCAACTTAACCTGTGCCATACAGTGACATCCTGTTCACATGCCCATTCACATTATCTATCTGAGGGATTACTTCCACAGTAACAGATACTTTACCAATCAACATCATGCTTTAGTACAAAGGAGAAGCTTTCTGGTAGGCACCGTAGAGAGCAGAACAAGCCATCAGGGAGATATCTGGAGTCGGGGGAATCTATTTTATTCTTTCTTGAATTCTGTCATTCTGCCATTACCTTGCTTCCACCTAAAATGTTGTTTCCTCAAACCACTTTGGAAATTGTTCCTTTATTGGAAAGTAAAGTTTCACATGGCAGAGACCAAATCAGCCTATCCCCCAAAAATAAACCCCATAAAAAGGTCCCATAAGAGATTTTTCCTTCCTTCTCCCACTAGCATTTCAAATCAGCATTCTGGTAGCTTCACTTTCGAAGAATCCAACTCCCTTGTGATGTTTTATGAGGAAAAGCAAGCCCACTTGAAAAAAGGCATTGTAGCTAGCATATTTGAGGTCCATATATTATTTATTGATTTTTTTAAAGGAACATACATTTTAAACAGTGTTTTTATTGAAGTTATGCTTATGTGGAATCAGTCTTTAGATAAACATGGCCATATATGCACAGCATGAATTAGTAAAGTTCTCCATATGCAAAATAGCAATTAATGGTATATGAAATTTATTACATATATTTTCCCTTTGCATAATGCTTACATCTACGGTGCTCTTGATGTTTTTACGTGTATTATGGTGTTGGATTCTCCCTTCTGTGGCTCTAAAGGAGCACTGGAACAAGAGCTCTGAGGTTTAATCCTGGCTTTGTCTCAACTTTCCTAGGGGAATTGGTTAACTCAATCAAGTATGGCTTTTGATTCATCCTAAAAGAATTAATCCTAGTTGTTAGAAGAATATTATT